TCAACGGTAAAAAACCTGTTTGCCAAGCTTTGTTCAAACAGGGCGTAAGTAAGAATTAGGTCCCCTCGGAGGCGACGGTACTCCAGGGGAAAGAGATCAAGCATCGCGAGACGCGTTTCGTAGTCCACGGATTTGAGGCCAGCAACCATTCTAGTGGCGGCCCGCTGGACACGCTCAATGAGGGTGACGTCTTTCGTGCGTCCTGAATAGACTACTTGGTTGGCGTATTCCAGGAGCGGTCTGACGTAAGCCCCATAGAGTATTTGGAAGTCCATGCGAGTAATACGGGAGAAGGTGCGTCGGATCATCCGTAAAATGGCGAATGCCTTTTGGGCCGATTTCTCATGGTGTAGTGAGAAGGACAAGTTCGAGGAGACCCAGATGCCCAAATCTTTTTCGGCATCTACCCTCATGATGTTTTCTGGTCCCTTTTCACCATGCGTAAAAAAGTCCGAATTCGGAATGTTTAACCTTTCCTTGAAACTGCGTACTAGTAGTCACACTGGTTTAGGGAATTAGATCCACCTCGGACTGTGATGTGGGACCTATCAAATACTACTGAGAAATCGGAAAATGAGGCATCCGATATGAGTCGTCCGTCCGTGGCTTGTGTTAAGTTGTCCATAAACTCGAGCATGTTTATCACTCAAGAGCGCTGTAGGAGAAAGTCGTGTTTAGCTGGAGATATCAGATTGCTGGAAGCAAGGTGATCTAGGATAGCTCGCCCCAGAATGCATTCCATCACCTTGCACGGCACGCTTGTGAGGCTTATAGGTCTGTAGCTGCCAGGCGATAGTCGGTGACCAATTCAGTAGATTGCCGTGACAATCGCTTCGTTCCAGACAGAGTGTCAAGCGACTGACGAAACACCAGGTGTAAATGATTTGGTAATGTGGAGGGCGTTTATTTCAGGATCTTTGGATGGACCTCGTTGGGCGCCACTGCGAGGGACGGATTCACATTGTGCAAGAGCAGACGAATATCCCCAAGCATGAAGACCAAGTCAATGAAAGGCTGATTGTAGTTACGCTGTGGCGTTTTGTAGCTTTGTTTTACTTCCATTGTAACACTACGTATTTCATCAATTGCATAATCGTTTTTTGTTTGAATACGAAAAACTACAAAAACGCGCACTTGTACAATTTCACATAATACAAGCGCGGTCACGTGCTTCGACTCTCTCTTCTGATTTCGCTCGCGCTTGCAGCGGTCATTCGCGAGTCTCATGTACCAACTCTG